CTCTCCAGAGCTCGACTGACTCCCTGCAGACTTTGCAGGAAAATCTGTGCTCGCAGCCCAAGGATCTCACGACCCCCCGTGCTCCCCCCAGGCTATTTGGGACAAGTTCCCCCTTCCTGGGGGAATATCTGGGAAGGTGGCACCCCCAAAAGCGAGAGTCAGAGAACAGACCCTTTGGACCCCAACACTCCCAGCATCCTGAAGTGGAACCCCTGACATCCCAGACAGGGGAGACCCTGTAAACCCCAGAGGGGAGAGACCAGAGAGGGGGAACACCTGGGACAATTGTTTTGGCATGAATCTTCATGTTTTGGATGAACCTTAACTTTCAGAAGTTTCAGAGGGGATTCATCTATTTCTGAGGTTTTTTACCTCAGTCTCAGTGGTTTTGGGTTTTCTCTCTGAATCAGTGCTTTAGGTTTTTCTGGGCTGAATCGTTATGTTTTGGAGGTTTTTATGGTCCCAGGATGCCCGGTGAGTCCCAGGGATGGACTTGGGCAGGAGGAACCCCCAAGCCAATGCACTCAGCCCTTGTTTCTTCTCCAGCAGGATTTGTCCTTCCCAGAGCTTGGGTGGATGGAGGAGGAGGATTTGAGGAAGAGGAAAAAGCCGCGGGCCCCCCAGGCAGGTGAGGAGGAAGTCAGTGCCCCTTTGGCCCTGTCTTGTGGTGCCTGTGGGGGCCAAATTTGAGGGGGATGTTCTTGGCCTTCTCTCTTGGCCAGAGGCAAATCCCCTGCCTGTCCTTCTTCCTTCCTGCCCCAGGCCCCGAGCTGAGGATGGAGAGCACGGTGGACAAATCTCCCCGGCAGAGCCTGGTGGGAGAGGCCGTTTTGAAGGGCTCCCCGGCACAGGAAGGCAGCGGGGAGGAAAAGGCCCGGAGATGCCCCCGGAGGAGGGGCTGCAAAGCCAGCCCAGGGAGCTGTGAGGAGGAAAGACCCGTTCTGTGCCGGGAAGGCGGCCAGAGATTGAGCCGGAGCTCCGAGCTGGTGGTCCCTGAGCAGCCTCCCAGCAGGGAGAAGCCCTTCAGGTGCTTGGAATGTGGGAAGAGCTTCAGGAAGAGCTCGAACCTCCTCAGGCACCAGCACATCCACACTGGGGAACAGCCCTACACGTGTAGGGAATGTGGGAAGGGCTTCAGGCACAGCTCCAAGCTCCGCAGGCACCAGCGCATCCACACCGGTGAACGACCCTACAAGTGCTTTCAATGTGGGAAGAGGTTTCAGACCAGCTCAACTCTCCTCGTGCATGAGCGGACACACACAGGGGAGAGGCCCTTCCGCTGCACCGACTGCGGGAAGGGCTTCAAACACAACTCCAACCTCATCACCCACCGGCGCATCCACACCGGGGAGAGGCCCTACAAGTGTGGGGAGTGTGGGAAGAGCTTCAGCCAGAGCTGTGCTTTGACCAGACACCAACGGACCCACCGGTAGCAGAAGCCCCTGGAATGCCCCGACTGCGGGAAGAGCTTCGGCCGCTGCTCCCACCCTGAATGACCCCCCTGATGATGAGGCAACCCCTGGAGTCCAGTGACTGTCAGTCCGTCCCTTTCTACCAGAAAGGGCCAGTCCCCTTTCCCAGGGGCAGGTTCTGCCAACAGAACCCTTCTTGGGGGTGTGTGGAGATTCCTGCCTTGGCTGGGTCCCCCCAAGGTCAGTGCTGGAGGTTGAGAGCAGAGATCTCCCCACGATTGTTGGTCTGGGGGAGTTCCATCCATCTCTAATTAATAATTCTTTCTTTGGTGCCAACTTGAGTAGAATTGCTTCAACAATTGCTTTAGTGTAGAGCACTGTCCTATCTTATTCTCTATTAGTGGTAGTTTTAGTGTTTCTTTAGTGTTTCTTTTAATGTTTCTTTAGTGTTGCAGTTTCCATGGAGAAAAGGTGAGGGGCGGTGGGCAGAGATTCTCGGCTACAGTCACCAGTTCTTCTCCCTTTCCTCTCCCTGATTTTCCAGAATTTGCCCTCAATTTTTATAGTGTTCACAGGAGCTTGAACATGGTTTTTTGGCACGTAGCCAGTTCAGATGTTGGAATAGATATGATAATCATAAGCAATGGCAGGATCTTTTGGCAGGAAGAGCCATGGGAAGTCCTGGTGAGAACTTCTGGCAGAGAGCTGACAGAGAATGTTTGATAGGAAGTTTTTGACAGGCAGAAACAATTTTTGGCATTTTTATATTATCTGTGTGTTACAGATGGTTGCCATGGTAAATAACTGGGAATGCATAATGGTTGCCATGGTAACCACAGTAACAATGAGACTTCATAATGGTTGCTGTGGTAACCAATCGTAACAATGAAAATGCATAATGGTTGCCATGGTAACCGAGGTAACAATGAGAATGCAAAAGATATACCATGGTAATGAAATTCACAATGAGAATATATAGTTGTTGCCATGGTAACCAAGGTCACAATGAGAATGCACAGTTGTTGCCATTGTAAGTGACATAACAATGAGAAGGGACAATGGTTGCCATGGTAACCAAGGTCACAATGAAAATGCTTAATTGTTGCCATGGTAACCAGTGTAACAGACTGCATAATGGTTGCCATGGTAACCGAAGTCACAGTGAGAATACACAATGGTAACAGAGATCACAGTGAGAATGCACAATGGTTGCCATGGTAACTAAGGTCACAATGAGAATGCACAATGGTTGCTATGGTAACCGTGGTAACAATGAGAATGCATAATGGTTGCCATGGTGTGAGGGGGGGAATTTTGATTCCGATGATCAGTGGAGCATAGAGGGGTGAGAAAGTGATTATATTGGGGTGTGAAACCAGCCAGAATATTGTACAATGTGACTTTATTGCACAAGTTGACTGTAGGGCCCACTGTGTCTTTAGCAATTTTAATTGGATATCCCCCATTATCAGAGCTGAGTTCCTCCTTGGCTTGGCTCCACTCTACAAGAGAGATACAAATCCCCTTGAAACACAATGGTACAAGTCATCCATAGGGCTGAGGAAGGTGATGGAGAGGAAGATGATGTGGGCAGGGGTCGTTGGCCCCTTACCCTACAGTGGGGCACGCCCAGACTGTTGCCATGAGGTGATGAACGGGTCCTGTTTGGCTGCCACTCAAGCACCACCTTCTGCTGCGTCCTGGCCCTACGTAGTGTAATGTAGAGCTGATGGAATGGGGTGTCGGCACTGCTGGGTGGAGCGATGCTCATCCTTCCATCCACACTGTGCTGCTCCGCGGGGACACCCGCCAAGCACGGGCACCGACCAACCCTGCAGAGCCTGGTAGGCCTGGCCTGTCTGTACAGGTGAGCACAGTTTATTGATAGGAAGCAACAGGGAAAGCAAACATTTTATATCCTTTTTTTTTGTATCCCTTTAATTCTCTTTTTACTAGCTAATGCTGTAATAAAAGCTGTTTGTAGTATTGTATGCATGGCAACTGATAATGTAGTGGTTTTGTATTTTTCAACTTTTGATTCTCTTTGCTAGTATTTTTTTTTTTTATTCTCACTGCAATAAAAGATTTTTGTAGTGTTTGAAAGGCTGTTGTATTTGTCTTTACTCCAGGCACGGATTCAAACTAATTAATACAGAAGGGACTGGCAAGAGGATTCAGGGGGTTCTGGGTGGGCTGTGGGAGACCAGGACGGGGTTTGTGGGGTCGTGGGTGGTCTATGGGAGGTTTTGGGGGTCCTGACCCCCCGGCTCCCCCCAGAGATGCCACAGGACACCATCTGCAGCAAGATCCTTGTGGGGGTTGGGGGCTTTTTGTTGGGCTTTGTCTTCCTGGCACTGGGGCTCGGCTTCTTCCTGCGGGAGAAGGTAAAGGGGGGTCCGCAGGGGTCGTGTCCCTCCTTCCCCAGAGCGTGTGTGCTCCCCCTGCCCCCCAGCCCGCTGTCACCCCCTTTCTCTCCCCACAGAGCTCCTGAGCCGGTGGCGTCCACAACCCCTCCCCGTGGCCTCGGGCCCAGCCTGGACCCCCCAGTCCATCCCAACCCAGAGTTTGGGCAGGTCATGTGTGTCCCCCGGCCCTGCTCCTGCTTTTGTTCTCACACCGCAGCCGCCTACTGCTTCCAGTGCTCCCAGTAAAGCTTCCCAGTTCTCTGCAGTCCTGGTGTTGAAGGGCAGGTGCCCTCCCAAAGCCCCCCCAGAATCAGCTTATGCAAACTGTACAGGGGTTGGCACCCGTTTTCTTTCTGCTTCCAGGAGTGTGTATTTTTCTACCATGTCTGGTTCAATGTTTTCACAGCTTAATGGCTCAAACTGTATCTGCTTTGTTTAAAGAAAAAGGGGGAAGTGTTGGGATTTTTAGTGCTAATATAGAGGATATGCTGCAGCTGTGAGAACATAGCCTGATATTGCTAACTAGAGGATATGCTACTATCTGAATATAATCTTATGTTTCAACTCTGAAAACATGATCTGTTGTTCTGATGGCCTTCTGATGGTACCAGGATATGAAAGATCTACCAAGAGAAACAGTAGCAAAACTAGAAATACAAAACAGGGTCTCAGTACCGGCTATCAGAGTGGGAAAGGACATAAAGAATGTTAAAGAAACAGAACTGATAGAAGAGTATTGTTAGAAAACTGGAAAAGAGACTGTTGCTTGATTCCAATCAACGGCGCTCTCTGATCATCACATTGGTGTGCTGAGTCGTCCGTGCTCGCATGAAAACCCCCCAGGCAGGTGCCCTCCAAAGGCCCCCAAAATCCCCAACACCCCCAGTGATGTCACCACTGTCCCTCTGATGTCACTGGTGTTCCCAATGATGTCACAGCTGTCCAACTGATGTCATTGCAGTCCCTGTGATGTCACCAGACAGTTGTGATGTCACTGGTCTGCAGTGATGTCACTGCTGTCCCCACAGATGTCACCACTGTCCCTGTGATGTCACTGCTGTCCCCAATGATGTCACTGGTCCCCAATGATGTCACCACTGCCCCAGTGATGTCACTGGTGTCCCCAGGGGTGTCCCCAGTGTCCCCAATGATGTCACCACTGTCCCTCTGATCTCACCGACATCTCCAATGATATCACTGCTGTCCCCAGTGATGTCACCGCTATCCCCAGTGATGTCACTGGCCTCCAGTTATGTCACCAATGATGTCACTGGTGTCTCTGTGATGTCACCCTTTTCCTTGTGAAGTCACCAATGTCCCCAAGGATGTCACTGATGTCCACGTTATATCACGGTTGTCCCTTTGTTTTCACCAGTCCCCTGAGATTTCACTGGTCCACAGTGATGTCACTGCTATCCCTGTAATGTCACCACTCTCCCCTGTGATGTCACCAATGTCCCCCATGATATCACTGGTGTCTCTGTGTTGTTATCCAGATCCCCTGTGATGTCATTGATGTCCCTGTGACATCACGGCTTTGATGGCAACAGTTGCCTATGATTTCACAGGTTCCTGTGTGATGTCACCACTGTCCCCTGTGATGTCACCAATGTCCCCAATGCTATCACTGGTGTCTCTCTGTTGTCACCTCCACCCCCTGTGATGTCACCAATGTCCCTGTGACATCACAGCTTTCCCATTGCTGTAAACAGTCCCCTGTGACGTCACTGGTATCCAATGATGACATTGCTGTCCCAGCAGTGCCACCATGTCCCTGTGATGTCACCAGACCCCATGATGTCACCAATGTCCCTGTGACATCACTGCTGTCCCTCTGTTGTCACTCTGATGTCACTGGTCCCCAATGATGTCCCTGCTGTCTCTGTGATGTCACCACTGTCATCTCTGATGTCACCACTGTCATCTCCGATGTCACCAATGTCCCCGATGATGTTACTGGGGCTCTGTGATGTCACCACCGTCCCCTGCAATGTCACCCATGTCCCAATGATGTCACTGGTGTTTCTGTGATTTCCCCCATATCTTTGTGAAGTCACCGATAACCCCAGTGATGTCACCCATGTCCCTATGATGTCACCACTATCCCCTGTGATGTCACCAGTGACACCGATAGTGTCACTGGTGTCTGTGATGTCACCGCTGGCCTTGTGAAGTCATCGTTTTCCCCTGTGATGTCACAGATGTCCCCATTGATGTCAATGGTGTGTCTGTGCTGTCATCACTGTCCCCTGTGATGTCAACAATGTCCCCAAGGATGTCCTGCTGTCTCTGTGATGTCACCACTGTGCCGAGCCGTAGCACCCATGTCCCTGTTATGTCACCGATGGCAGTGATGTCCCTGTGACATCACAGGATTCCCTTTCTTGTCACCAGTCCCCTGGGACATCACCGCTCCCCAGTGATAACACCCATGTCTGTGTGATGTCACCACTGTCCCCTGTGATGTCATCAATGTCCCCAATGATATCACTGGTGTCTCTGTGTTCACCTCCACCCCCAGTGATGTCACCAATGTCCCTGTGACATCACAGCTTTCCCTTTGCTGTAAGCAGTCCCCTGTGATGTCACTGGTCCCCAGTGATGCCACTGCTGTCCCTGTGATTTCACCACTGTCCCCAGCAGTGCCACCATGTCTCCCTATGATGTCCCCAAAGTCCCTCTGATGTCACCAGACCCCTTTAATGTCACCAATGGGTTTGTGCCATCACGGCTGTCCCTTTGTTGTCAACAGTCCCCTGTAACGTCACTGGTCCACTTTGATGTAAATTCTGTCTCTGTGATGTCACCACTGTCCCCAGTTGTGGCACCATGTCCCCACTGGAGACAATGATGGCCCTGTGATTTCACCAGACCCCATTGATATCAGCGATGCCCCTGTGACATCGCAGCTGTCCCTTTCTTGTCACCAGTCCCTTGGGATGTCACTGGTCCCCAGTGATATCACCAATGTCTGTGTGATGTCACCACTGTCCCCTGGGATGTCACCAATGTCCCTGATGATGTCACTGCTGTCTATGTATTGTCACCCTCATCCTTATGAAGTCACCACTGTCCCCTGGGATGTCACCAATGTCCCTGTGATGTCACCAGTGTCACCAGTTATGTCACTGGTGTCTCTGTGATGTCACCTTGGCCCTGTGAAGTCATCGATGTCCCCTGTGATATCAGAGATGTCCCCATTAATGTCACTGGTGTCTCTGTGGTGTCATCACTGGTCCCCAGAGATGTCACTGCT